AAGGTCCCATTCCGAGGTCTCATAACACTGAATTACTTTCAATGCAATTTTCATAATCCATGATTCCAGAGGACGAGAAGGCGACACTACTGATAAAATCAGTTACGAGATTGACACAGTAATTTGTGTCCGTCTCCGTGGTGCTGTCGCTCTGGGGTCATTAAGTGCATGTAGGTGTGTTGTGTGGCAGTAGCACTTTCCATCCAAGCAATTACCTGTTGTGGTTGTACCAGCAGCAGCAGACTGGATCGATGAACCAGCCACCTGCTGGGTGCTGCAGCAGGACTTGTGGGTTGTGTAGAAGGTTCTCTGCTTAATTTGCTATGAGGAATGTTGGTGAGGCTTGATCCTTGCGGATGGTGCAGTATATTTGACAGGGGAAAGGCCAGAGCTGAGCCACTCCAGCTGCCAGGGACCTGCCAGGAACCTCCCAAGAAATGCAGGGTGCTGTGGCCATGGTCCTGGCACCATAGTCTGGAAAGGTGCTTGGCTCATGGGAGAGGAATAGCCCTGAACTTAGTGCCTGGACACCAGCTGGACATCCCCTACTCTGGGGGAACTGGGTGGATTTCAGAGGGGGAGCAAGACCAAGAATAGCTGCAAAACATATGCAATTTTATGCAGCTGTGTCTTTTGTGGTCATGGAGAAATAATTAAGGGCTCCTAAGAACAGATTCTGGGCTGCTAAGAGTGAACAGATCCTGCTCATGTGCACGTGTAGGCACCTGCACACTGTTCCCAGTGCTCCAGCTGGAACACCTGGAGAGCAGAGTGGTAGTAGCATCTCCGCAATTGCCTGGCAATGAGCTGGATGAAAGTGGATAAACAACTGGGGCATATTTTCCCCCGGGAGGAGTGCACAGAAAGGCTCTGAAAAGCCTGTGCCCAGGGAATTCTGCTGAAACAGCAGAGCTGAGGCAAAGTGGGAAGTGAAGGAGAGCAGCAATGACCTCGTAGAATATCATGTTCTGGGAGTTCACTCAGCCTTTCTGCCAGGTAGAAAGGCAACATGAGGTGATGGCACAGCAGTCTGCCATAAACAAGGTGCAGAATGTTGCTTGACACTGGATTTCTTTCAGGAATCATGGGTACTACACTGGTGGGGGGGAAAAGATTTTGATTTCATTAAAATTTCTACTACTTCTTGTGTTGAAACATAACAAAGGAGGGAAAAGGAAAACATACTTCAGAACATGTTCTCTTGGGTCATTCAAAATCTTTGCTGCAATTTTAAGAGTATAAATCTTTTTAAAAAATGAAGGTAGGAAGTTTGAGGGTTTTTTCCTTCTAAAAATACCTGCTTGGGATTTTTTGACAAAATGAAACATGTCATTCTAACATCAGCCTGGAACAAAGGATCTGAGTAAATCTGAAGATCTTGTCACATTCTCTAAGTTATATTTCTTGAATGCCTGTAACTTCAGAAGAATTTTACCCAGGTTTCTAAAATACCTACTACATATATCACGGTCAAAAAGATTTCCTCCTAGCTTTGAAAATAAAAGGGAATGAAAAGAAGTCAATTTTGTATTAAAAGCAGTTTGCAACCCAGCAGTTTGTATTGGCTGCCTGTCAGCTGCCACTCAAAATACTTGTTAATATTTACATCCTTCAAAGTTTTTGAAAGAGAAGACTTAACACCCTGCTAATATTTTCCTACCTTTATTTAGTAAAGTAATCTAATATTTTATTATAAAATTTGCAGGATTATGGCTTATGATCAAGCATGTTATTGACAGAGAAGTGTCCAGAGGGCAGTTCAGCCCTCCCTTTGCTCGACCACACCGCTCAAACAGGTCTCTGTGCAAGATCTCTGATACTTCTTTTTTGAAGAAGAAGAATAACAAGTGTTTGTAGAAACTTATCACTGGATCCTTTTACTGTTAAATATTTTATACAGTTTATTTTTAACAGCAGTGGTCTGATTGTTTCTGATTGAAGGATATGTATGTTGGGCCTTACCTCTTTTTTAAAGGTGTGTTATCTCAGGGGAGCTGTGCAGAACTGGGTAGGTCTGTTGACTAGAAGGCATGCAGAACATTTGCCCAGCCTCTGTGCTTTCAGCACTCAGTCAAAAATTGAAGCAAGTAGCAAAATCTGAGGAAATGCAAAAATATTGCTATTGTTTTGCATGTTTTAGTTAGGGACCAAATTTAAATGTCTAGTGCTACGAAGAAAGCTCAGCCCAACTGAGAGCTAAACATCCTCGAAATAACCTTCATTGATACATAATGCAGGACTGAGGTGTTCTGAAAAAGGAGCCTTTCAGTTAGACATTATTTAAGAAAATCTTAGGAGGATGGCAGCCAGTGAGGCCAGAAGGTTTCATAAAAGCTGTAAGCAACTGTTAAAGGCACAAATATATGAATCTTTTTGTTTTGTTTTAGAATAAAATGGCTAGTTGAAAAACATCCTGAAGAGTCAGCCACCCACATTCTTCCTCCAAAGAATCAAAGATTCCCAGCTCACAGGCTTTGAGATGTAATTACAGTACAAGGAGGTTTGGGGGAGCTGAAAAGTCACCATAGCAACCTCCTGGCAAAAATTTCACACATCCAAAGTGAAGCAAAATTTCTCTTTATTTGAACAGCCCCAGTGAGCTTGAATATTTTCTGTCTTCATTTTCTGCTTCTCTTCATTTCATTGTACTCCTTAATCACAGTTTCTGAGCCCTAAGTGGCTTCTTCTAAAACTTCCCAGGAAAGTTTGGCCAGAAATGGATGCAAGATACTGGTTGTTAGATCAGACTCTGCCTGTGACTTAGTGTTGAAGAGGAGATGCCCTCACATGGCATTCCAGATCCTTTGCAATAATCTTTGCTGAAGCTGATGAACAACTTGTGATGGATAATTAAAAACATCAAACTAAACTGAAAAACGGGAACAGAGAGAAGACACAGGAGATGGAGAAAGGGGACAGCTAGACCTTCTCAACAGCTACTCTGGGGTTGCAGTAAAAAATCCTTCCATACCATGATGCCATGAGAGTGGTTTAATGGTACAAAAAGTTGACAGGGACAGAAAAATGAGATCTCAAGCACCCACCCTTGAAAAGTCCTGTCCAGTCTCATGCTGGAGAAAGGCTCTCCAGGCTCTCCATGCAAGAGTTTATGTGAATGGTAGAAACTATGCAGCATGGATTTGATGAGACAAAAACTGCACGTCCAGCAATTTCCTTGAATATGATCTGCCCATAATAAAATGAAACCAAAACCTGCTGGTGGAGGCTGGTTGGTGGCCAGAGCGTGCTTGGCCTCAGCTGCTTGGGTCTGTGCTGATGCACAGTCAAGGCAGGAGGGGAGTTCCTGGGCATGAGACAGTTTGGCTGAGAGGTGCTGTAGTAGACTTTAGGGGAGAAACCTGAGGTCTGAGGTGTTTATACAGGGGTAAGTGAGAGGAGGAGACAGATTTGTTGGGAAGAAGGTGAAGATGGATGACTAGATTATTTAGGAGAGCAAAAGAGAGGGACACTTCCATCCTGTTTGGAGACCAGAGTGTCTCGAGGAACAGGGTGAACTGCAGTGTTAAGCAGCCTTGGGAGGTTCAGGCACTCTTCAGTTCCTCTTATGTCCCTGAGCAGAGGAGGAAGCTGAACTGCTGGGACCCACTGCAAAACCAGTTGAGATCACACTCCAACTCACAACATTCAAGACTTAACCTCTATCTAGCCTGTCCTGGTTTGAGCCAAAGGGACAGTCATGCAGAATTGTCCTTCCCTGGTGCCACTTATTTCTTGCTCTCAACTCACTAAGTCTTTCTCAGTAACAAACAATATTTAATATTTTTTGAAGTTGGCTATGACTGAATAATATCTTGCAAAAAGGGAGAAATATACTAGTTGATCTTTACATTAGTGCTGTATACAACATAAAGAGTCTAGACAGCTGATGTGGGAAAATTTAAACTAATGTTCTTTAGTGCGTTGCTTTTGAATCAGAAACATGGGGAAATCTTCAGTTGTTTCTTTCTAATTTATGTTTTATAACACTCCATGTTCTGGACTTTGCTCTGGACAAAACTTAATACAACCCTGTGACGTACCACAGGCTGGGAGCATAATGGTTTGTGTCTTAAATGTTATTGCAAAAGTCAACAAATCATTGCTGGAGTGATAAAGGCGAAGGCTGGGAGCAGAGCTTTGTTGTCACAGCAGGTTTTCCAGTACCAAAGAAATGCAGTTTCTGAACAGAAATCACTTTCTCTTCATTCCCTGACCCACTGAAAACATCACAACATCCCGCCTGATTTTCTCTTCATGTTTCTCTTCACTGGTCTTTTGGTATCTGACAGAAGAAACAGCGTGGAGCACTTGGCAAAAATCTACCTTGATTTCTGTGCTACACAGGGAGGTAAGTGTTTGAGCAGCACCTTTTAATGCCTGTGGTGTTTTTAGGAGAAAGTAAGAATCACCTGAAATCTGTAAGAAGTCCTGTTGGGGTATCACAGGCTGGGAACATGATGATTTATTCCTTAAATGTTACTGAGAAAGTCAGCAAATCATTGCTGGAGTAATAAAGGAGAAGGCTGGGAGGAGAGATTTTTTGTCACGGCAGTAAACACAAAATTGGGTGACATGTCCTAACTCCTTAAGTTTCGTAAAGTGCAGTTTTAAAAGGAAATGGAGAGAGTTGTTTAATTAGCTCAGTTTTAAAATAATTTTCTAATGTTTATGTTACATGTTTGGACGGAAAGAGACCATTTCCATTTTGCCAGTGGCCAGAGGGCAGCAGCTCTCAGTGGGGAGCCCTAGGCCAGGGGTGTGTCTGCTGTGGAGCTAGGCCACTCCACTGAGAAGAGCTGGGCTGACTTAGTCTGGGGATCTGGTCTGCTCCTTGGAGCCATTTTATATGTATCATTTGTAATTGAAAATTGAATCCATTGTGGTCCTGAACCAAGAGTGAGCATTTGCTTTGAAGCCCAGAGAAGTGAGAGGAGGAGGCAGAGGTTGGCTGGGGAGTGTGCAGAGCACAAGGAGTGAGCCCAGGGCTCTGGGGCATCAAGGTAGTCTGTCCCTTGGTGCTCTGGTTTCACTGCAGTCACCTCTGAAACACCTTGAGTCAAACCCAAGGACAAAGTAGAACCAAGTCCTTCTAATTTGGATTCTACTATAAATGTTCAATGTATGTTTTTACCTCTGAATTAGCCTTTTCCCAATTACGAGTATGTTCCCAGGGCTCAAACTGGTGCATGTTTGTAGTTCAGCCCAGTGGTGAAAACGAATACTTTGTTTGACTGTGCTTTCTGTGAGTAGCCTGTGTCCTCTGTGTGCCTCTTGCTCTGTCCGCTGCCATCCCAGTCTCCTATCCCATGAGGGTCTGTGGGGTATAACAGTGGGTCAGCACACCCATCTTAACCTCACTGGTAGAGCTTTCTCTTATTTTTCTACTCACATTTGTAGGAACTTCACCACTTCAGATATGGACTTGTTTTGTCAAAGCACATTGAAAGTTGCTAACAGGTTTGCAGGGTTGTTACAGATGGACAAAACATGCACAAGGGAGTTTGACCATTCCTGCAAACCTCATCTCTTTTAGAAACCAGCAGAAACCAGAGGGTATGTATGGCTGTGACCTTTACAGACACTACTGATCTAGTGACTCAGCTTGGTCACGGGGAGTGAGGCCCTCTGAGCTCCTGAGCTGTGAATGCCCTCCCAGCAAACCACAGAAAGCACCTCGAGTTTCTCAGCAGACTGTGTGGTAAGGGAGTGATCACCAACATCTTTCTTTCAGAACATGCCCAAAGAATGAAGAGGTTCACATGTGGCCCTGGACAGCACTCTTCTCACAAGGCCCTTTGCATCTTCGTGGTTGCTGCTTGTCATTTCCTCCTGGCAGGTACAGTAGTTTCCCTCAGGTTTAACCATAGGGATGATGCTGCTAGTGGGCTCTGGGCTTCCTCCCGCCCAGAGCATGTCTGCTAGTTTCCTGGTCTGTGCACACAAGCAGAGCTATGTAGGAGCCCAGTTCCCTTTTGTTCTGCCCCAGTGCAGCAGTTATTCTTGCTCTGGACCTCTGCCTTCTCCCTGCAATTGCTGCTGTGTGCTGGTCCATTCCCAAACACATCTACAGGTCTGGGCATGATGCACACCCTCTCCTGGGATACTGGTTCACTCTGGGCCGCAGATGAGTCAGTACAAAAGAGAAAATATGGGAAGGACTGAAATGCCAGGTTTTGGTTGCATCACAACCATTGGCCATGTTTGGAGGTGAAAAGTCTCTTGGTTTTGTTATTACTCTCGTTTCCTTCCCAGGTGGCTCCCTGCATTTCTGTATGTTTTTTTTCTAGTTTTACTTTGGTCACTGTCAAATAAGAATTCTGCATTTACTCACTTTGTGGTGTTTCTGGGAAAAGCACAAAGCCACTGGCAGAACCAACTTCCCAGTAATAATTCAGGCCTTGAGTCAAACCCAGTGAGCTGTGCCTGATGAACACACTCAACACCCTTTTGCTCTGCCATAAGTGCCAGCAAAACAATAATTAGTTCTGTGTTGGTTTTTGTATTTCTTTCTTTGACTTCTCAAGAACAATGCAGGGCATTAATGTTGCACTGGGGTCACTTCCAGCAGACACTGCAGTTGAGGAAAAAATTAGCTCTTTCCCAGTAAATCCTCTGTAAAAAAAGACTAACTTAATGTCAAGGTCTTACCAAATGTACCCACTTTCTCTCAGCTTTGGCCAGAGGCCCCTGATGGATCAGCTATAAGACACTGGTGCTCTAATAATTCATGGGATGGGTGCCAGTTCTCCCATGGTACATCCCATGGGGATTCCCATCTGTTGGACAAACCCCTGGGAACTGGCTTCTCACCCTTGGGGGCCCTGCAGCTGCTGGGAGGCATTGCAGTCCCTGGTATGCATAACCTTTATTAGAAATTTACTGGTCAGGTTGGACTCAAGGGAGTTATAATAGCTCACTGGAGCTCCTGCCACACTGCTCCAGGGACAGGTGGGCTGAGTTAGAGCCAGTGCAGGTGCTACTCTGCTACTCTGCAGCCAGGGCTGGGGCCATGTGTGGGCAAATTGCTCTTGTATAAGTCTGTGGTTAGTGTTACTCAGGGAGGTTGACTCTGTCAGCAAGAACTTTTTTGAGTTGTAAAGTTGTAATAATTTAAAGTCATGAAGAAAAAAGGAGCCTAAACAAATTCTCTGGAGCCTGAGAAAAGGACAGTCCTTTTGATTTTTATCTTTAGAAGAAACATTGACCGAAACACTGGGGGTCAAGGGTGTGACTCCTGCAAACAGCTCTTTTCCCATGGTGTGCTGAACCAAGACCTTTGCACTGGACACCTGTACTGGTAGGGATTATGTGTGCCCTAGACCTGAATTCTGTGCTGATTCCTATTCAGCACATCTTGAGGACTTCAACTTTTCCTTTGCAAAAATTTTTAACTCATTTTCTCTTTACTGGTAGGGTGAGTGGTCTCAGAATTAAATTTCAAAGGCAGCAGAAACTAGAAATAGAAGAAACTCTTAATTTTTTTAGATCATTGTTCAGGGAAGTACCTGAGTGAGATCACATTGCAGCTTTTTCTTTGGAAGTGACACTTTATTTCCCTTCTTTACCCTCTTCCCTAATGCCATTTGCTGTCAGAAACACGTCATCTGCATGGGGAAAGACTGGATTTACTGGGAAGGAACGATAAGTATGTGTCTCTGACCAACCACAGCATCCCTCAGCTGTGCCAGTTCACCGTGTGTGTTGATCTCAACCGGACGGCCAATGTCAGCTCCTGGGCAGCATTCTCCTATGACACGAACACCACCTCCACTGACATCAGTGACCTAGAGCTTGGACTCTCTGGAGAAAACAAGCAATTGAGACTGTATCTTTTTGGCACTAGACGAGACATTGAGGTCGACCTGGCCCTTTTTGTGTGGTACAGCGTGTGCTGCTCGTGGGACACCAGGAGACAACTGCTGGAGGTCTATTGCAATGGTCATCTCGTGTATGCAGAGACCCTTGGCAGTGCTGAGTGCCTGAAGCCCAATGGCAGCCTGGTGCTGGGTCATCTGCACAAAAGAAAGGATGGCTTTACTGTGAGGGTCAGCAACAGCTTCATTGGCAGCTTGTACTATTTCCAAATGTGGGACCGTGTGATGAGTCAAGAAGAGCTGCTGGACTGTGCCATGGGCAATACTGTCAGCTGGGAGGAGCAGTGCTGGAACCTCAGCAGCATCCTTCCTGTTGCAGACCGGCACCTGCGCTGTGGTGAGTCTCTGCCAGATTTTCTTTTTCTTGGGGCTTGTGTGTTTCTGGGGATCACAGGCACAGAGCAGGGAACCCTCCAGGGATTGTCTGATAGCCTCTCAGTCACTGCTGCTGTGACTGACCCAAATATTGAAAGGTTCTCAGCAAAGAGAAATGGGAACGTGTCTCACAGGTGATGAACTGCACCAGCAGGTACCATGAACTGCTGGATCCATGTTGTGTTCCACACTGGGAGAAGGGTAACTGGAGCCTGACATTTTCCCAAGAGCGCTGAGAATCTCTCATTTGTCAGATCTTGGCAAGACCTTTGCTTCCACTGTAGATCTACTCCTGACTTTAATTAACTGCAATTAATGAACTCGCTCTTGCACAGAGACTGACAATACACTGGGTAGTGATACCAGTGAGAGCTGGAAATACATACTGAGATTAATGTCCTGTCTGTCAGCTGGAGGAGGCTGCACTTGGCTGTAGTTTGTATGGATTGTCTCTATCAGGTCATACATGTGGAGTCTAGGTGAGAACATCTGGAGAGTGCATATCAGAAACAGCTGTGCCAAAGTGCTGCTGTGGAAAGTGACAGTGCAATGATAACATCATGACTCTAATTGTTACTTAGGCCTTATATCAATTACCAGCTGCAAGGTTTGTTTCTTGTGTTTGTGTGAGTTGTTTACAGACCTGTGCAGTTCTTGGTTCACCTTGGCAGTGGATGGTTCATGCAGTTGTGCTGGGAAGTTGGGCAGCCTGCTTTGTTTTGGAAATCTTACCTTACTTTTTGGAAGGCCAGGGCTCATTTAGGCAAAGTGAGTGAAACTTTTCATATGAACTAGCAGGAAGCACCCTCGAGAAGGTGTCAGGACTTGTAAGCAATAGAATTATCAGAGCAGTTGCTCTGGCTTTGCTTGATACCAGGAGTAGTTATTGTTCTGCCTTTTTGCTTTTTCCAGAGTTCTTGAAGATGATCCTTCACTTTTCCAGCTCAGCTGGGCCTCTGCTGAAAATGTAGAAGTGTATGTTCTCATCCTCTCACTGACTCACTGTCTTCATTTCTTCCTCCCTCTGCCTCACCCACACACTGATTTCTGATTTTCTTCTTAATTTTAAATAATCTTGGAGAGGGGACAAATAGAAAGGATCTGAAAATGACTGCTAATAATACAGAAATGTATTTATTACAGTCCTTTTATTGGTTGGTTTAATTTTTGCTGCTCTTCTATTGGAAACCATACGTATTTACAGGATGCCAAATAAACAGTGTATTAAATTACCAAATCAAAATCCTTGACTAGGACTTTTAAAATGTCAGTGGCACAGTATTTTTCTATCTTCAGATCTCATCTGTCATCACTCCTTAGCCCTCAATCCGTGAATGGAATTACATACATGTTAATTAATACAAATGAAGTTAGAGGATGCAGGTGGCTCATCCCACACCTGCCTGCTGGTAATGATCCTTGACATGTGAGAATAAGCAGATGTATTTATTTTTTTCTTCAGTTGATAATGAGAAAGAGAAAGAAATAAATTAAAATCTGTGAAGTTGTAATTATGCTTAATTTGTCAGGAGGTGAAAATGCCATTGTGAGTGACATTCCTGATTAGAAGGGGTTTGGATTTTATTTGGCCATTTCTCTATTATGGTTTCTTTTTCCCTAGCAGAATTTTCTGTTTCATCCTGGCTGACACAGGGTGATATCATCCATCACCCCTGAGGCAATGGGTTTTGAAACATTATGCTGGTAACAGGAACAGAGTGGAGCCTGGAATGACCCAGCTATATGCAGATTCCTCCTATCTGGAGAGGATCTGCAGCACTGTAATAATCAGGAAGACAAGTTAACCCCTAGGTGTACAAACAGCTTGGTTTATGGCTTGATAAACCACAGTCTAATACCATGTCTGTAGTGCTGCAAGAAAAGAAAAACTCATTTATTCCAGTGATGGGGCATGTCTGCACAGCATTGGCCCTTCTGCCTTCTCCTCACACTTCTTCTATGAAAAGCAGCTCTTAAAAAAGGTTACTAAAAAAGATGTTGGGTTTTCTATGAGCTTGAATCCAGGGACTGATTATCTGTAGCATCACAGTGGGGCTCCCAGAACTCATCTCTGCAGCTTCACACCACAGGAAGGCACACAGGTTTCACCAGAAGCTTAAGATCTGGGATTAAAGTCACCAGGGATGCTGGAATATCCACCTCTTTGCAGTACTGGGGTCAGGTACTCCAGGGTTTGCTCCTTGTATTCTCTCAGTAGTATGTGTTGCGAGGATGGGGAGGGCTTGGTGTGCAAGGGTGCTGGAGGAAAAAGGACATCCCCTTAGTTTCAGGTCCTTCTGTTTACTTCAGAGGAGTTGTTTTCCTTTGTTTCTAGGGTTTTACTTTTAATTTAGTAGATACTTCTGGCTTCTTCTTTTCTGCATATTCACATGTATGTCAAACAGTGGTAGTGGCTGGTGGTAGGAGGTCTGTGTATTCAATATTTAGGTTTGTCTTACAATTGGATGATCTAAGGCTGCTGATCATTTCCAAATAAAGAATCAGTGAATACCCATTATGTCAGGTTGTGTTGCTGACATGTGCAGGCAACAGATTTGAGATGGCAAAGTGGCATCTTGCTCCTGGACTTACTAGTGTTTTAGTGGAAGAGTAAAGCAGAGTGAATTAGTCCTCTTTTTTCCCAACAGTTTAGTACTATCTCAGAAGCAAAAGGCCTGAGTAAAGAGGAGAGATGTCCAAATGAAAATCTAAGATTCATCAAGCACCATGGGAAAAGCAGGGTTGCATTTTTACAGCTTTCTGGGAGCAGCAGGGACTGTGCTACAAAGAGCACTGCTCTGCCAAAGCAGGTTGCTGGACACTTTGGTCTTCGGAGCAGCCCCTGCATCTTTCCTCCTGGCTCAGCTCTCCTCCAGCTCTGAGCATGTTGCCTCTGCTGAGGATACTGCAGGGGCTGAAACTGCTGCTCCCTGGACCATGAGGTGACACCCAAACACAGACTGGCACCTCTGAGGAGCATTGGGAGACTGAAGGTCTGAGCTGAAGACTGAAGAGTCCGAGCTTAGTCTGCAGGAGCCAACCTTGGAGAGATAGCTCAGAGCTTTATATAAGCTCTCTTACAAGAGCTATCTAGTCCTCCTGTTCATGAAGTTGGAACTCAGAAATTGCTCCAGTTTGACTCTGTGCTGAGCACACAGCCTGTGGCTTGATGCAATGGGTAAAATAGCTTCTTGATCAAGGAAGCAGAAGGTTGTGTACTGTAGCATGCCTGTTCAGAAGGGACTTTTGACTTCAGCTGTCCTTTCAACTTCACAAAATAATTTGAAGCTGTTGAGGGTAAAAATATAAGCCTTCAATTTGTTAACAGCCCCTGTTATTGTCCATGGATGTATTGCCATCAATTTGAAGGTGTCAGAGATGGGCTGTTAGATTTCAAGCATGGGTGGTCCTCCTTACCTCTGGACTACGAAAGAGAAAACAATGTTTTATGAAGTGTGGCCCCATCCTCCTTATTTCCCATCACACTCCTTATTCATAGACATTTGGCTTTGTATTCATATGTTAAGTTTACTTGTCTTAGTCAGAGCTAGAATGTCAAGTCTCTGGCACTCATGTGAGTGAAAAAAACAACCCCCAAATTACCAGCATAGCAAGGAGATGGTTCCTAAAATGTTGTGATCCTACTTTTCTTTCCTCCCTGAGGCTTGTAATGTTATACGGTGATTTAGTTCATTGCAGTTTTCTGTACCACATGTGACAAACATCACCCTTTTTGTCCTTGTCTGCCTGGTGATGTGGCAGATTGCATGTGAAATGCAAACATCATATCTGGTTTGACAAGGTGATTCACTTCAAGGAAAATTGGCTACAAATGAATTCTCAGAATTCTTTACTTTGGAAACAACAGGCAGGATGACTGGCATTTCAATGGGAATTCTTATGCCAGGTTATCATTAAACCAGAGACCATGAGTATCAATGTTCATCCCACATGCATTGCTGCATGTTAACCCGTTAGCATTCAGGGTTTGGCAGATGTATTCTCCTGAAGGCTGGCACAGTTTACATGAGCAAGAAGGGAACACAGAACTGCTCTTCAGCATAGGGAATGAAAAAGAACAGTCTTGCATCAACTCTGGTGTTCCTTGTCATCTAAACTCTGCAAATCCTGTTTTCTCCCTTGTTACACTGTAGTTTCCTCTGGAGAAATTAAAAAAAAAAAACCACATGCAGGTGTATTTTCCCCTTTGACTTCACCCTGCAGAGGCCTGGGGACCACCAGCAGCCCGTTGTCACTCTGACCTTTGCTCCCACCCCAATCTTACCTGGACTGTGCCTTTCCTTACACTCTGCCATTGTGGATTTTAGGCCTTCTCATGTTCTTTTCAGCAGGCTCGAGTGAATCATGGTCAACAAGGACTTCGCCCCTCCCCCCACCCCCCCCAGCCAGTAGCACCAATGGTATAATTCCAAGTAAGTGCTAAATTTTAAATGCTGCCATGACCAGCACTGACACCAACTGACATCACACGTGACAATTTAAGATTCGGTCACATGTTTAAGCTATTGCTGCTTAGCAAAGTGTTGTATGTCAGCAGATCCTCCTGTCTCTTCCTGTGTCACAGAATCACAGAGTGGTCGGGGTTGGAAGGGACCTCAAAAGATCATCCAGTCCAACCCCCCTGCCAGAGCAGGATCAGCTAGATTAGGTCACACAGGAACGTGTCCAGGTGGGTTTGAAATGTCTCCAGAGAAGGAGACTCCACAACCTCTCGGGGCAGCCTGTCCCAGGGCTCTGTCACCCTCACAGTGAAAAAAAAAATCCTTATGTTTACATGGAACCTCCTATGCTCCAGCTTGCACCCGTTGCCCCTTGTCATTGGACATTCTTAGCAGGCAGTAAAAGCCAAGTCTGTGCACCCCCAGGTATGAAGCACAGCTTGTCTGTTAAGCTGTGATAACCTGATGATGTCTTTGGGCCCTTAGGCTCTTTTAATAACATAGCAATGCAGCAGGTCACCTGGGACTTGGGCACTTGGAGTGTGGGATTTCCCAAAGAGCCTCTGGGACTGTGTGTCACAGAGGAGAGGAGGACTTAAGGTTGCTTTAAGAATCACCATCGAAGATACTAGAAAAGTGTTTTTAATACAAATTTGTAAAAGTCCAATTTAGTAGAGTTGGATGGCAAGGTTCACTCTGTTACTTACAACACGGAAGGAACATGTAAAGGTTGGAATCAAGTTGAAGAGATTTCCACAGGTATTGGGGGAAATGCCATCGCCATGCAGCCCAGGGGGAGGTGGTCTGCACCCCCACACCCTGGGAATGGGAAACACAACTAGGGTTGAAAGGAGGGGTCAGGAGATGAGGAGGGGTGCAGACACCTTCTGTGCAAACTACAGGATGCATCTCACTTACGTTCTTTTCTTACAGTTGCCTTCTTTAATGTTCACATGAACTTTTCCCTTTCCTACACAACTGAGAGAGCTCCTGATTACTATGATGCAAGGAAGCTTCTTGAAAACTGGGTGAGCAGCTTACTTTTCTCATTCCATGTATTTCTAGCAGGTATCTGATGGTGAGGACAGGTGGTGCAGTACACAAACTTAGGGGACAACACAGGAATCAGTACCTTTGTAACAGTACTGTGGCATTTCATGTTATCCAGTGCATTTTTAACAGGATAGAATTAAACTCAGAAGGAAGGGGAAAGTGCTGACGTTTTGTAAAATCCTTCAGCCTTTTTCATCAGAGTTTAGATCTTTTATGGCAATTTTAAATTTACAAGCAAGTCTAGATGATGTATTGATAAATCAAGTTAACAGGAATGTTGCTGTTTTCTTTCCAGTTTAGTGTTGTATTTACTGGAGAAGAATTTGTTGTGACAAACTTTAAAGTCAGGTAAGGCTCTGGCTATGTAGTGCTGTCACCTTCACCCTCTGTCCTTTGAGTGAAACTGCAGCCAGGTTCCAAATTTCCATTTCACAACTGACTAGTCCTATTACAAAGGTGTTATATATATGTATGTGTGTGTATATATATATAAATTATTATATAATATAATTTATATTGTTTATTTTTTTTTATTCTTACTTTGAAGTGATTATTCTGTTCTCTTTTGCTTGCAGACGTAATTATCCACAAGGCAGTGTCTATAAGAGGGCTCATGTATGTAATTTGTTACTTTATTCTTTTAAAATCTACTTTTTCTTATCTCTGCATAGAGGATATAGTAGTTGCATCTTCTAAATACTGGTAACTATTATGTTTTATTGAACTTATTGAACACTGGCCATCAACCTGGTAGATGCACCCCATGGAAACAACTGGGCTGGAGAGCTCCTGTGTGTCCATGGATATTGGTTAAGTTGTGTGAAGACAAGGGAATGCTGGATGTGCCCAGAACTCCTTGCAAGCCTTCTGCTTTGCAGTGGCCTTCTGGTGAGCACACTCATTGACCAGTGGTGGCTACAGATCAGCTCTGTTCTCTGCATGAGGCAGCATCAGTGCACAGTCAGGTGCTGTTTTATCCTGAGCTACCTCTAGAAGTTCTGTGAAACAAAAGCTGCTCGAGGCTCAGGTCCCAATAACATTTAAAGCCATCGGATCTATTTTAATGAGAACATTTTAATGAGCTTCTGCTGTTTGCTTTTCTTAAAAATCCAACTTCTGCCAGCTGATTCTGACCATCTTCTAACTTTTTGTGTCCTTCTGTGCAAACTTGAAGAGGAGGGTAAAGCAGATGGCACAAAGGTAAGAGCCATGGTTATGAACTGGGTTTCCACAGTTCATATTGATTTCATTTTTAGGGTGAGGAGGACTTAAACCCTTCCTTGGCTGGTTTAGTTTCAGAGTAACTGTGAAAACTTTAGTTGTATAAAACAGAAAAGCACAAGTGGAGTGAGAACCCCAGTAATGTATGAATTGGGGAAATGTATTTGAGCATTCAAGGCTTCCCTCTCACACCCCATATCTTGGGAGGCTCAAAGTGCTTCCATGGCAAGCTGGAAGGTTTGTGCTGCACTGTGGGAGCTGCCTGTGAGCAGTGTCCTTCCCTGGGGCCAGAGCAGTGAGTGGACTGTGCCCAGGAAGGCTCCTGGGATGAATGTACTAATGTACATAAGAAGTGGCATTTGGTGACATTTGCCATGGGACTGTACTTAGGGTGAACAAAATATATTGAAAAAAAGAAACAATTCAATATAATTTTCTGGGATACTCCTTTTGTAGCCACTTGTAATTGTGAAATGTTACTAATATGGTTACTAATATGGTAGTCTTGGTTGTGTATTGTGTTTGTAGCTACATCTGTAAGGCCATTATAAAGGCCACATCACATGAGACACAAGAAGTGCTGAGTCTCAAGATCAAACACTTGCTGAATGACACTTACAGAGAGGGGCCATTATCCTTGCATGTGAAACCTGAAGATGTGGCTGTCAAGCCAATAGGTAACACATCATTAATACCTCATGGGAAATCACATGCTTTGTACTTCTGGATGCAAGTGTTTAATCACATTTAAATTTAATGGAGAGGTTAGGCCAAAAAGCATCCTTACAAGTAGCCAGACTGACCTCATCTGATGCACAGGCTGTACAACATCATGCAGTGACTCCAAGATCAAAAACTTAGGTTTCAGACAAATGGAGTTAAGCTAAGATTTGAATCCTGGTGCCAAGGGAAGTCTGAGGACCTTTGCAATGAGGGAAGGTCAGGCTGATGCAGCTGCAAAGCCAGGAGCTCCTGCTCATAGACAGTGCCCCAGGGTCCCCCAACACAAGAAGGACAAGGAGCTGTTGGAGCAAGTCCAGAGGAGGCCACAGAGGTGATCCTAGGGCTGGAGCAGCTCTGCTCTGGGGACAGGCTGAGAGAGTTGGGGTGTTCAGCCTGGAGAAGAGAAGGCTCCAGGGAGACCTTAGAGCTGGGGAGGTACTTTTTACTAGGGCTTGGAGTGATAGGACAAGGGGTAAGGGTTTCAAATTGAAAGAGGGTGGATTTAGATGAGGTATCAGGAAGAGGGTGGTGAGACACTGGCACAAGTTTTCTAGAAAAGTTGTGGATGTCCCATCCTGGAAAGTCTTCAAGGGCAGGTTGGATGGGGCTTGGAGCAGCCTGGTCTAGTGGGAAGTGTCCCTGCCCATGCAGAGGAGTTGGATCTAGATGATCTTTAAAGTCCCCTTACAATACAGCAGTAAGCCAGAGAGAGCAGCCAACAGACTGTACCTGATACCAAAGCCTTACAAAAGATCAGCTGCAGACAATAAAACTACAAGCCTGGAGGAAAGATGTTGATGGGATAATAAGGGGCAGTGTGAAAGCACCCTCAGAGAGATGAGAGCAGCCTGCAAGATGTACTGACATTGAATGTGGTTTGTGATGCTAGGAGACTGATGCTTTACCTTCAAGAGAAGGTCAGAGAAGAACAGGTGAAATATTTAAACAGAATGTTTTCTTGCAGCCAATGAACTTGTAAAATACTCATATCCAATCTGCAAATTACAGCCCAGTCCCATCAGGAAAGCAGGTTCAGAGAACAGCTGGGTCCTGGGGTGTCAGGGAGGTTCTTCTTTTTAACTATTACATCTTTTAAAAGAGCTTTTATGCATTTCATCCTCAGTGCTAATGGATTGTCCAGAGAGCTTTTCACAGACGAATTACAAGGGCAGTTATTCCTGGCCACTAACAAGTCCAGCTACCAAAGTGGAGATCAGCTGCAGGAAAAACCCTCAGCAGTCTGCTCAAAGGAGCTGGTGGGTAATGAGATCATCTCCTTTATCTCCTTTTGGTTCTTACATGGGAAACAGGAGGGATCACCAGGCATTGGGTGAGGGGAACCAGGTGGTGGCCTGTCCTGGCACACAGCAGGACCATGCCAACTAAGATACAGAAGATACAGGGCCAGTCCAGCACAGGCTGCAGGGAAAGGGAGTGTGGAGGCCAGCACAGGAGAAACTCACCTTTCTGCTTGAGCAGGGAGGGGAAACAGATGCACTGAAGCCTTTTGTGCCAGCCATTCCCTGCTCTCTGCCCTCCAGTACCTCTCCATGCATTTAAAATTGCTCTGGCATTTGGGCTCTGCTCCCACTCTACTCAGTGAGTGCTCAGTCAAATCTGACTTGCACGTCAATGCTCAAAATTTGGTTTATTAACCAGTTTCTTAGCTACCTGTATGAGTAATATGAGGAACATAGATTATTTCTTTTATTTTTCTTGTAACAACATGCACTGTTTCCATATTTCAGTGCAATTAATATTGAACGTGAGCAAGCTTTGTGGAAGAAACCAAATATGACTGCATGCAAATTACTGGAAGAACTTCCAAATAATATTTTAGACCTCCATGATACCACAATAACAGAAGGTAAGGCACAAGATGCTTCTGTGACACAGTGAATCAAAGCAAAAAGTTACTCTCAGATAATGCTTATGTTGGACATCTGATGAACTGAAGCAATTAGGTTATTTTATGTACATCCTACTCTTAAAGTAATCTTAAAGTCATCTTAAGGTGTTTTTAATGTAGAATAATTTTGCAGGTGCTTCAAAGTTCTTTACCTATCACTTTGAAGATTTGTCTTAAATCCTAAACTTAGATTTAGGAAGAAAATAACCAGTGTTTAATGTGTCAGGTTTTGCTTGTCTACACTCTCTCCATTACCACATCAGAACAGTTGATAATGTTCTGTAGATCTCATACAAAGCAGCACAAATCAGTGTATGGAACTTAAAAGTTTGTGCTGTGATTCATATAAACTATAAGGTGACTGTTATGACCTGATGGTTTCTTTTTTTTTAAGCTTTACCAAACTGTGAATTGTTTGAATGATGAACCAAAACAATTCCATAGCTTATCCACCTACTCAGCAGCAGCAAATAAAGAATAGATCACTGAAAGATCTCTGCAGTTGCACACGGTCTGTCTGACTCCTGGGGTGTAAAACTCTGCTTCTATAAACAAATCGGTGCAGGATGATGAATGAATGGCAAATAGAGCTTTTCAGGCTATGCCATTCAGAATTTGCTTGTGCTGCTAGACCAGCTCAGCAGCATTTGGGGAGAGGGGCAGATCTTGTGTAATTTTGATCCCACAAATGCTTGTAAATGTCACCAAAGTTGAAACTAAATACTACTCACAGATCATTTTTATAATCCAAAAACAGACAATAATATTGTTATGAAAAGTACCTTGTTTTCTTCCTTTGAAACACAACCTGAGATGTCAAGATTTTGCTTGGAAGTTTTGGCCAGTTTTGTTTGCACGTTGAGAGCTTATTGACTTACTGAGTGATAATTGTGTAGCAGGTCAGAAGCATCATGAGCAAAAGGAAGGAGGAGAAGCAGATTAACTCCTTGCTTTAACATAGAGACACATAGCTCTATAGCTAGACCTGAGCTGTACCACATAAATCATCTGTACTTTCTTTTTCCAGAGAATGCAGAAGATGTTGTGCAGCATATTTCATACCTCTTGCCAGATGCAGCACTGCATTTGGAAGAGTTAGAGATCATTGCAAGTAAAATTTCTGATATTGTAAGGCTGGCAGATCTGAGCATGATGCTTGCAGAGACTATATTGTCCATCCTAGACTATATTTTGCTGCAAAAAATAGAAGATCAGAACATCAGAAAAATGACAAATAGGTAAGTAAGATAACTTCCACAGAAGTGGCTTCCTAATTGAAAATGGCATTCTGGAGTAATTAATGGTTTATGTCTGTTCAAACGTCACCACAAGGGTCAGCAATGTCCATACAAACCACAGCAGGTTTTACAAGTTCTGCCTTCCAGATGGAATGGAGTATCTGACTGGGTGTGAATTTTCACTTGGGTCTTCCCAGAACCACCTCATGTTGCCCCTGCAGGACAGTTCCACCTACCAGAGCTTTGGCTTAGACATGGTAACTCCACTGTTTGGCACCACCTGACCCTGTGCCAGACAACACCCTCTCTGCTCCAACATGGACCCATTCTGCTCTGGTGATTGCTCCCTCTGATCATAAATTAGAACACTTTTTAGCTGATTGTTTCCTGGCTGCATATTATGAAGCCAGGAGAAAGTTACAAGAGATGTTTTGTTTTGTTTTTCTTGCTGTTCCTCTTGGAAAAGTATCCTGAAGACAACCGAGGAGATGGGCTATAAGGTGACTTACACAGAAAGAAACACATCACTTGTCACCACCTCCTTGGCTTTGTTGGTGACTCGTCCAGATCCCAGCATGTTTGGAGGTCTGGCCTTTGGAGTTACCTCCTACAGCAGAGGTGGGAATCTCCAGGTGAGAGTGAAGAATAACTTCGGGCACCACTGAGCATACCAGGCAGCCCTGCTGCTCTTTTGTGTGTTTGACCTGAGGCAGGCAGGTCTGAGCACGTCCTCTCTCTCCTGCAGATCAACGTTCAAGAAAACCCTTTCAGAAAGGCCTTGGCTTCTGTGTTTTTACCAAAATCACTGAAGAAATTCCTAGGGATTGAGCACTCTGACCCAGACAAGCATTCAAGGATCCAGTTTAAGTTCTTTGGCACTACTTCACTCTTCGTGGTAACTACAACTCCAAACAAACACTGACACTGTTCTGTGTGTAGAAATGAAAAATCCTGAACAGCATCATCTCTTTTGGGCCCATTTAGCATCAGGCTGATGGAGCACTAAGAAATGTGCAGGGAAGATGCACCCAGGCAGCAAAACCTTCCCTGTAGAAATGATGCTCTGAGAGGTGTCTGCAGACCTGACACCTTTGTTCATGTTCTGTAGCTGATGTTAGTCCAGTACCACTCTTGTGTAGGAAGAGAGCACACACTCATCTTGTGATAGTGAGCTCTTGCTTAAGGAACTAAATATCATTAAAATAATTTCAAGATTTATCTCCCCATTAAAATAACAGCAGCACTGATATGCAACACTCAGGGCTGTTCTAGTATTTGCTGTTTTCTTAATTCAAGGGTGGGGGTGGGGTGTAATTAAAAAGGGAGACTTTTCTTCTGGCATGATGGAGCACTCAGTGTGCTGAGCAAAGCTTCTCACACAGGAGAAGCCTTCACAGTTGTGTCTGCTGTCTAATGAGCTAAATAACGTGCAACTGGATGTGTTGACGTACAGAAATGATGATGCAGCTTTCTCAGTCCAGCTGATGCATCTGAAACTCTGTTCTGCTTCAGCTGATGTGGAGACTGTCCCTGAAGTTACAGTTTGCCACATTTTCTAATGAAGGAGCAAGTCCCAGGGTGTTTGGCTGATCCCTCTTTCCAAGAAACACAAATTTTAAAAAAATGGAAGCATGGAAGAGCAGGATTGCTGGTAACTGAAATCACTTGGGATTCTTTGCATCTGAATATGGTTTTCCACTGTAGGATGACAGTTTAAAGGAGGAGAGGCTGAATACTTATGTTGTGAGTGCCAGCATTGAAAACACATCCGTTCAGAACCTCCGTGAGCCTGTGACTGTTACTCTGCAGCACATACACCAAAATACGGTAGGTGTGTTCATCTTGTCAAGGGCTTGTTGAAGAAGACCCCATTTCCCTCACCATAAACTGGCAACAGGACAAATAGGCTTAAACATTTTGCTGCCTGATCTCTCCCTGATAAATCAACCAAAACATCGACAGACCACACGAATCTTGGTGTTTAGTTCCTGCACGTTAGTAAAGCTTGTGTCTCCACTCCAAATCCATGCTTAGTAGCAAGGGGTGTTTTCATTGCTTCCTTATGTTGATCTGGCCAGGTTTTTTTCAAGGAATAGTTTATTTGCTATAAAATGGCAAGTTTTGAGTTTGACTGAAATGATTTGCAGATGCTCTGAATTCAGCAAATTGTTTTAGTCACAAAAAGGAGTACATTTATTAAAAAATCAAAACATTGCACAGATTTTTTCCATATTAATTTGCTTTGTTCTGTTTCAAAACTAAAATGTATCTGAAATTATTTTTGATGGTCAAACTTGTTGCCTGTTTTCCACCTTCACATTTTTGTGTTGCAAGTATTTGTGGTCCAACGTAAGATGGAGAAAGTCCAGAGGAGGCCACAAAGATGATCCAAGGGCTGGAGCACCTCTCTTGTGAGGACAGGCTGAGGGAGGTGGGGCCGTTAAACCTGGAGAAGAGAAGGCCCTGGGGACACTTTAGAGAACCTCCCAGTGCCTGAAGGGGCTCCAAGAAAGATGGGGAGGGACTTTTTACAGGGGCTTGTAGTGAGAGGACAAGGAGTAAGGGATTAAAACTGGAAGAGGGGTGATTGAGGTTAGACACAAGGAGGAGATTCTTCAGTCTGAGGGTGGTGAAACATTGGCCCAGGTTGCCCAGGGAAGCTGTGGCTGCCCCATCCCTGGAAGTGTTCAAGGGCAGGTTGGATGGGGCTCTGAACAACCTGGGCTGGTGGGAGGTGTCCCTGCCCATGCAGGGGTTTTAAGGTCCCTTCCAACCTAAATCATTCTATGACGATGATGTTGCAAACCCAGGGCAGAACAGAATTATTCAATAAGATGAATCTGATGAAAGTTCAGGTTAACTAGAGCTTGAAAATGATGTTTTTATGGCAATATGCTCTTTTCATTCAGTTCTAATATATACCCAGACATTTCATCTAGATACCCCCTCTCTTCTGTCATTTTTACTCCACCAGGCCATCTGGCACCTCTGATTTTTTTTCCTCGAGCTTTTAAAAATATCCTAATTAAATATTTAATGAGATACCATCCTAACCTACATCTTTGGCTCTCTGCCTAGTTATATTTGACAGTCTACAGATCACATGTCTTAACAGCTGATCTGTTAGGGTGGCTTCCTGTGCTTTATTAAACTTGATTAATAATAAAAGAAAATGAATCTGTGCCTTGGGAGAGTTTGCTGCAGCATTATAAGTAATAAACTAGAACGTACCCAAAGGAAAACATTGCATTAAATACCCATCTTAATCTGTTTGCAATATGCAGGCAGGTTTTATTTACTCTTAGGTGTCTTCCCTGCCTGGTTTCAGAGACAGTGGAAACACTGACATTCTAAAATAGAGGTATTCTTGTGTTGAGAATTGGTTTTGTTTTGTTTTTTACTGTGTTAAATCTCAGGTTGTTATTTTATCTCTTAGTCACAGCTTTTGAATTTCACCAGTAATTGGGGACGACATCTCAGATACCAGATGAAGGCCATGAGATCAGACACAGGAATTGATGTGAGCTGCAAAACTTGTCAGATTTTCTGCTGCCCTTAAAAGACACTAGGAGATACAGAAAGGCCAGGAAAACTGGGAAAATCACTAATTCCCAGGATTTCCCTTGGTGCAGGGAAGGTCAAAATTGGGACCCTCTGCAGTTTTTCAGTGGCACAGATGAGATGGCCAATATCCCAGCTGGTTCCCCATGTCTAAGTGTCCAAATGTCTGAACTGCTGGCATCTCCAGTGAGCTGCAGACCCCCTGTAGCCCCACCATGCCAGTCATCACAGAGATCAGTGGGCTTTCAGTACAGAGATCAAATCAATCTGCCTTAGTTATAAACCCTGATGAGAGGCACGATGCACCATCTGCAAGTGCAGGCATCATACAGACACACTGAATGAATGTCACAGCCTCCTTTCTCTCTGCCTGCAGGGTAATGCAGCAGTGCACTGTGTCTTTTGGGACTTTCAGAAGAACAGTAAGTGTTATTTACAGAGCTGCCAGGCTCTCTCTTGTCACCAGTCTCACAGAGTGTTTGGCTCCTTGACCCTGTAGCTTGAAACTCCGAGGCTGTCCTGCTGGCTAGTGTTATTTACAGAGCTGCCAGGCTCTCTCTGTCACCAGTCTCACAGAGTCTTTGGCTCCTTGACCCTGCAGCTTGAAACTCCGAGGCTGTCCTGTTGACTGTCTCACTGGTTTCCACTGACATGGCTACCTCAATGTGTGTTACTCCTGGGGGAGACATATCTGGCATTGTATAATGGTGCATCTACATGGAGAAGAAGACTTAGCCTAAGAAAAGTGCAGGAAGGCAGTGAAACATCAGATGATTTCTCACAGTTACTTCAGGGAAGTCAGTGGGGGCTTTGCTGTGGTCAGGTCTTGAACATGGCTAGGTAGTCAACAGGCACAGCAAGAGCAGTGTGCTTTGGGGTAACTCAGAACATGAGGGAGAGGTTTTTTTCTCTGCTATTATTAGTGTTAGAATATATATATATTTAAAATTAGAGCTTAGCATCTGAATCTGGCATAGGTGCCACATAAATAGGCTTATAAATTTAATCTTGCCAGTGAAGATCTATCTTTTCCAATGCTACACTCTGCTTCAACAAATCCTCTACTCTGTGAATACTTCTTGCCTTCTGTGTTTCCATACCCCTTACCTTCCTGCTTTCTCTGTGTGCCTGCATGCAAATTACTCTTTAAATATTTCTTCATCCCACCAAAGGCTTTCATCCAAGTTTTGGGGTGCTCAAGCAACTACAGAAAATGTGTTCCTGTGTGAAATCTCACTTGTGAGCTGCTAAATGACCCTGAAATCTGTACTAACTTGAGCTCAGATTCACACATTCTGCACACTGCAGAGCTATAAATGACTGAGCATGACTAACTCTGCTTAAAAATCCTTTTTTTCTCTATTACACAGATGGACTGGGTGGATGGAATAGATCAGGGTGTGAAATGGAATATACAGAAATGAATTACACAATCTGTTTTTGTAACCATCTTACCCATTTTGGAGTCCTGCTGGTAAGTACGTGTGAATTATCTCCAAAAAAGTCCTGTGGCACTAGACAAAGTCATCACTAGTTTTGGGGAGAGATGGGAGATTCATGGCTCTACAACCTGTTAACTGCAATTTTGCCAAGCTCAGTAATAACAAACAAAACAGTTACAATTATTTTAATGGTATAAAGTCTCCTAAATGTCAGTTGCTTCGAGGCAAATACATTTTACAGGTGTAGTTTGTACTTTTTTTGCAACGTAACTTAATCAACATGGATGGGTTCCTTGCTGCGTTGGGAATGCTGTGTCAAATGAATTACCTGCCAGTTGCAACTAATGGCATTGTATCTCTCAGAAAGTTGTAACTCCATCAGAAAGGGAACTTTAATGTAAATACCACCTTTATTTCTCTGGGATATAGAGCAAACTGCCTCTGAAAGTTAAATGTTAAAGGAATGAGGGGATTGCTTGAGAACGGGCTGCAACAAATGCAAAGTGTTGGGCAAGTTCAAAGCAAATTGAGGAGATTAAAGTTGTCTAATCCAGTAGGATACACCCTATAGGCCATGGAAAGGCCATCCCTTTGCTGCCCACCTGCCTCTAGAGGCCAGCATTGCCCTGTGCTGAGACAGGCACGGAAACCCTCCCTGGTGGGAAAAACGGAACTTCTCCAGGAAGGAACTGAGATGTTACATATTTCAGGCACCTTGCTGAAGTTTCCATTCAAACAGAGAATTCAGTCTGATTTGAAGATCACATTTTTTCTGCCCAGCCACTGTGGTCATCAGCACGTGGGGAGTATTTCACAGCACCACTGATGGCACATCAGAGATGGAGGTTACTAGACTGAGGTTCAAAGTTCCACCAAATAGAAGAAAAACTGTGGCTGGGAACAACAAAATCCTCTCCATGTCAGTCCTGGCAGCAGCTGTGGAGGGGCAGGGCCCAGCCCCCTGGCTGGTTTTCACAGAGGGATGTTCTCTGGACATGGAGGAGCCTCCCACGCTCCAAGACATTTAGCAGGTTTGTGCAGTTCCAGGCATGGCAGCTGCACTGAAACACACTAGAGTTTCTTCTCCAAAGCAAGTTCCCAGTGGAATAATTTTGCCAAGATCCTGTAATCCTTGTTGGATTCACAAGTTGAAATTCACAACTTATTACTGGATAATTTAAATACTGCATATTTTTACTAGTTTGGATATTCTGTAGGACTGTACAATAAGAAGCACATAAAAATGTTAATGGAAACCCTCCAAAAGTAGCAGTAAGCAGAACAGAAATGGATTTATGTGGAAAACCAATTTCTTTATCTGTTTTGGCAAACAACTGTGATTCTTTCTCTTGTAACACAGGACTTATCCCGGACAGAGACAGATGCCACCCATGATCGTGTTTTAACTCTGCTAAGCTATGCAGGATGTGGTGCTTCTTCCCTTTTCTTGGGTATAACACTGGTGACATATCTAGCCCTTGAGTAAGTCTGATCTTTCTTCTTACACGGCTTTTAACCATTTAGCCATAATGAACTTGCAGTAACTATCAGAATATTTGGCAGTATTTGATGCTGTGAGGTACAGGAGGGAAGACTGAGAGCTGACAGTAGCAACATTGCTTTATTTTGACTTGGGACTGTGGTCGCAGGTACTAAAATACTCCTGCTTCAATTCCAGAACTAGTCTGAGCTGTTCAGCAACTTCTGTGTTCCTAAACTTCTGCCATTTCCAACATTTACCCATGGGCGTGGGTAAAATGCTATGTCAAGAACCTGGAGTATTCCCTGTACATACGCTGGATGATCCCAGCAGTCTGGGGTGTTCCCTGTACAAAGGCTGTACCTGGGACGGTGTCAACAGTAAAACAGGGAAACTTTTCTCCTCTCTTGCTCTTGGTCTTGTCTTTCTAACCCACCTTTTGGATAGGTTTTGTTTTGTACTGGATGTGCCTGAAGCTCCTGGCATGCTTGGGCCCTAGGCTTAGGTAACTGGGTGCTTTCATAATCCAGTAATTTTGCCATAACAATAATACTGAATGCAGTAGTACAAAGATGATGTTAAGGCTGTCCCTCCTCCACCTGGTGTAGCAATCCTAGCTGGTCTCCAGGTGTAGAGAAGCTCTGCTTTTTCAGGCTGGGAGATCTGCTTCAAAAACACACGAGTGATGTGATAAAAACCACTAATGCAGATACAACTTACACCACAAGAAGCCAATTTCTAATATTGACATGTACAGAATTGGTGCTGCTTGGCACTAGTGACTGCACCCAGCTCAATTCGTGTAGGCATCACCTCCTGGACTGTCCCCTTCCTTTTAGAAAGCTGCGGAGAGACAACCCTTCAAAAATCCTGCTCAACCTTTGTGCCTCACTGCTGATGCTCAACATGCTCTTCCTCACCAATTCCTGGCTGTCCTCCTTCCACCAGCCAGGTCTCTGTGTCACCGTGGCCGTACTCCTTCACTATTCCCTTCTTGCAGCTTTCACATGGATGTGGCTGGAGTCTGTTCACTTCTACTTGGCTCTTGTCAAAGTTTTCAATGTTTATGTCCCAAAATACATCCTAAAATGCTGTCTTGCTGGCTGGGGTAAGTAAAGGGAATTTTTTTCTCCACTTCTGTACTTGTTAACTTCTCTAAGACAGGGACATATTTGCAAAAGTCAGGACACTGAGCTGATAGAAATGTGGTGAGCTGTATGGGTGGATTTCTTCTCCAGGCAGGTTGAGCTGAAGTTTCTTCTGCCCAGGGAGACATTAGCAGAAAGTGCCTGTTGCTCCCTGCAGAGTCATATGCAAGTAAAGGCAACGGTGGAAGGAACTGCTTTCCCTA